TTAGGGTTAGGGTTAGGGTTAGGGTGGTCACATTTTGGTCAACATTTCTTTTGAATAAATCACAAAAGAGTAAGTCGCAGATTGTGGGTTTTGGTAGTGATGAACAGAGTGTAGTAACTCTCAACTTAACTCACTTTGTGAGTTAGTCTCCTCGACGCAGTTTTTGCCAAACGGTTCGTCATCTTCTCCCAACAGGAGTCACCAAGTCTTTTCCACAGACTTCTGACTTTTGACCCCTGTCTTCCTTGTGAATAACTTGCCTGTTTTCCACGTGTTTTGGAAAACTATTTGGAATCAGTTTAGGACCTTCATCATTTCACGCTGTCTTTCTCGTTGTGTCGTCCCTCAGCTCTGTTCCGCTTTTATTATAAGGCTTTAAATGTTTTTTTACTGCGTTCTATACGAGCAAATAAATGCAAACCAGGTGAGAATGTACTTCAGGGTTCTCCATATGGTTTACGTACTTTTCCGGGCAGAAGTTTCTAATTGGTGCACACACGCACGCATACTGTACACATACTGTAGGGACTGCACGGAACCTCTTATTTTGAACGTCTAACTCTTCAAGCTGGAAAAGCACGTGACGGGAGGACCAATGGCTTCCAGGAAGAATGTTTCAGCACAAGAAAACAATCAGAGGATGTCTAATGACAGGATCTGCTGATAATAGGCCTTGTACATGCTGAGACACAAACACTCAGACAAGCACGTGAGGCACGGACAAACATATTGTTCGTTTCTATATTGTATGTGACAAGGGCCAGAAGAAAGCAGGGGCGTCAAGCAACACTAATATCTTCTGTATATGAACATTTACTATGATGAAATTTACTGGCATTTGGAAATTAAAAATCAAGTCAAACTGTGTTAACTCTGTTACACAGGGTCATAGTTGCGCTTTTAAACTACGGAAAATATTGTTGCTTTTTTCTAACACAGCTGTGAGCTAATATTTTTTGCACAGCCCTTTTAAAAACCCTAATGAGAAACCAAGCTGCTGGGGGAAAAAAGGTTTGGTCACCATTCCTTACACAGCTGGTCAGGTACGGGAACAGACCTTTAACTCTGGAGACGTCTTTTGGAGAAATACAGATAAAGATAGACCCTAAACTGCTGTATCAGCATGACTAGTAATGTGCTTATTCGGTTTCTGTGAAATGACTCAAGCAAAATTGCTAAAACACTGCAAAAAAAAGGGGCAGATCAGATGACGAAAACAACCGTGCTTTCTGACTCAACCTCAGGTTTCAGGATGTGGAATCTTGTTGGTCTTTTTGCCACTGAAACAAACTCAGACAGCTGCAAATGTGGAAATGTCCACTAATGTGTTTTTCAGTGTGTTTCCTTAACACATCCTCTTTACATTAAAGAGTACATTACTATAAAAAAATAATTACCAATGAAAGTTTACTTCTTCTACCAGGTGTGGTACATTAACTGTGACCATCTAGCAGACAGAATACCACCTCTGCTCACCCCCACCTTCACAAGCTAACACTATGAGTTAGCTAACACCGGAAAGCACACACACATACTGGATATATACACCATCTACGTTACAAGAGATAGCGAAGACGTACGTGAGGCTGTCTCAGCGTGCTGACACACTTTAAGGAAGTGATGGTACGACTCCATCTCGGCCGTCGAGATCCGCACGGTGGAATAGCCTTCCCCATAGTTACCACAGTGAGGACAGGTGGATCGTGAGCCGGAGTAAATCCACCTATCTGGACTGTCCATCTACAGTCAGAGCTCTACCTCACTACGCCTGAGAGCAGCCAGTGAGCATGCGTGCATGCTTGTGCACCTTCTTTTCCCGATGCATCTCTCTATGGCGCCTGATCGCCGCTTTGCAGCAGGGAGACAAAGTCCCCTCGTCCCTCACCCACACACGATCACAGCTTCTTTCCACAAACACAATGGCCACTGCAGCTCTTCTTGGGTGTGAGTGTGTGTGTGTGTCCCTCCCTGGAGAGCAGCTCCAGGTTTCCCTAACCTGCTCTGCTCTAATCTCTGCATTAGAAGGTAGAGTAAAGCCTATTACTCAACATTTGCATGTCTTCATGCGTGTGTCTGTAAGATCAGGGTCAGGACTGTTTCCAATGCTTCAAGATTGTTAAAAGAAATTAGCATATTAGCTTATGACCCAAATGGGTGCCATCCATGATAATTAAAAATGGTACAATTCCACAGTATACAAAACTTAATTCTCGGAAATTGAATGGATGAAGAGCCGGTAAACAGATCATCTGTTATGTCCCAATGAATCAGGTGAACAGAAGTGTTTCAATCCCAGCTGCAAGTAATTTACTTTTTGTAGAAGGATACGTGTGCAGAATGCCTAGCTTTTTGGAACAAACAAATTCTCAAAATGGCATTGATTGCCAAATCAAAGCGGATAAAGTGGATAAGGTTGAATTTCCTGTGTTTTTTCCGTGCTGTTCTTGTATTGCCATATCCATCGCAATGAATAGTAAATATTATTGTTTCATGTCGAATGCTGCCTAACCAGCTGCGGATGAAAATTCCTTTCTACCAACTGGTCCACAGCCATTGAGGATAATCCCATTAAACTAGGTTGTTATGCAGAAGGTAATAATAGGTTAAACAAATTAAATTAGGTTGAGTAAAAACTCTAATACTATTTGGAAAAGCCCAGTCAGCTGGGCCTTTTTTCTTTCTGATATTCTTTTTCTTTTCGGTCCTTGTACGAGCACACAAAGCAGCTTATTCTTGTTTTTTTCACACACACACACACACTTGCAGTAACCTTTGGAACAGATAACCAGAGTTTACTCTTAAGGTCTGTAGGTTTCTTCTGTGTATAGGAGTGGGTTAGAAACACCGCAAGTCACGGGAATATTGATGATCAACCCGGAGAGACCGGATGTGTGACATGTTTGATCACACCGTCTCTAACCACTTCACAGTAAAACTGCAGGCTCCGATATCCTTCACTGAATAGGAAAACCTGTGATAGGACAAACAGAACTGACTTCCCTTCAGTTATATTCAATGACATTGTTTCTCTAAGAGTGGGTACTTGTAATCCAGGACATGGGTCAGTGGAATAATGATAATAGTGTGGGGGGCGGGGGGTTCGTAAAAGGTAAACATATACGTAAATAATAAAATAATGATCATGCCTCTACTTCACAATTTTTTCCATTTTGCAACGATCATCAGATGTGCCATCGAAAATGATCCAATTAACTGGTCTCAAAACGAAAATGTATTAATGGCTTGATCAGATGTGCCATCGAAAATGATCCAATTAACTGGTCTCAAAACGAAAATGTATTAATGGCTTGGTGACTGGTGACTGTCTTTCTTCAATTCCTGCAAGTATATCAGTGTTGTCTTCAACTAAACAGGACAAGATTTTACTAAATTGAGAGTAGATTTAAACTAAACGATTATTATATTTACCTGCATAAACTCACATTTTGTGAGATATTTCTTTATACAGAAAAATATATCTGCCTTGGCTTAAAAAAAGATTTGGAAACACTGACTTGAGGCGACAACCATGAGGCGTGTAACGCAATTACCGTAGAAACACTGAACTTGCCTATCATTATATCAAATAAAATGTCTTTCCAGTGATGACATCATACATATTCATCACCGTGAACACTGACATAAACATACCGGTGAGCTGCGCTCCACAGCCTACAGTCATCAGTTAACAGTCTACACTGCTGAGACACATGAGGGCAAGAAACTACTGTACCTTGAGTTATGTTTCACTCGGTTTATCTAACATGAAACATTCTGACACACCTTTGCCTTTGACTCATGACAATCTGCTGGTGATAAGCAGTAATAAATAGCAGTAATAAGTAGTGATAAGCTGTTCACATATAAAACAGCAATATGTGACATTAACTTACAAATGACAGATCCCATCTGGCTCCCGCTCCTTCTTTGGAGTAATCCACACACAGAACGAAGCACCTAAAGCAGTGTCCACAGTCGTATCCACAGCAGCATAACATACAGTACGACACACACCCCGACACAAACATACACACAGTTCCAGAGACACAGTTTTTCCTTAGCACCGCAGCACGACAAGCCCCATTCTTTACTAAGATGGCTGGAGTGTCGGAGAGGGAGTGATCATGGAAACAGGGGAATGTGTGTGTGTGCGTGTGTGTTGTGGGTGTGTGGTGCAGCAGGGGTTTGAGCCCTGTGACCAGCTCTGTTCTGTCTTATACTCATTTTCAACAACAATCAGTTCAGGCAGCCCTGCTGTGTCCCCCTGTCTGTCTTCTGTCAGTCCTGACTTTGTCTTCAGGTCAATTTGGACATACTTTCTCTAAGTTTCAAGTTTAAAAAAAAAATTAACACGTTCATTATTGGTTATTGGTTATTTTCCAAGTATGCATTACCTTTTGTGCATATTCCTGTTACTACGTACTGTACTTAAAAAACTTTAAAGACAGACAAAACCAGGATGAGTTGATTTTTTCTTTTTACATTATTTTATGTTGTTAGTGTTAATAGTGTTCTTCGAAAACCAATGGTTGGTTGGTTTTTGTTTACATGTCAATTCTCCGCTGTATTACTTAAGAGTTCCCTCTTAAAGTCAGGTTTCCCTCCTTGTGTGAACCTTGCCTTGTTCTACATCCTGCCTTTTTTCCTGTGATTGTCTAACCCTTTCCAGACACGGTTCACCTGTGCATTAAAAACCTCCCTGTGCACAGTTGATTCTTCTTTCGCTGTGCTTCCTTGTCCGTATGTGACGGTTTCTTGTCACATTGGATCCTACCAGAAGTAGGACAACTATCACATTTATAGAACTATAGTTTCATAGAAATGCGATAACTATAAAAAACAAATTCAATCAAAGCGTACAACAACCCAAAACAAAGAGAGCGAGAGAAATAGAGAGAGTGATGGATGGACGGACTGGGGTTAGGATTGGATAGATAGATTAGATAGATTAGATAGATAGATAGATAGATAGAAGTCCTTGTCCTAACACACATATACAGACTGTATATATATATGTACACATATATATATACATACATATATATATATATATGCCCTGACTCTCAGGAGGTCAAGAGGTCAGGAGAGAGACCAGGAACGGTCTTGTGTGAAAAGAACATGGAAGGACAGTTGGCTGGAGTCCAGTTGACAGAAGTAAAAACAAAAGCCGAAGCACGTAACACTCCCACCCTGTTGGAGACAGGAAGAGGAAGCAAAGAGAATGCAGATCTGACGTCATGGCAACAAAGGATGGGAGCTAGTGTGAGTGGTTTATAGGTACTACAATAAGAACAGAGCAACTTATGGATGGTGGCGGAGGAGCACACATAGGCTGTTGTAAAACCATTGCTCATTAGAGTTTTATATTATTAAATTTGAAAAACTGCTCTGCCCTATATACCTATTTTAATGCACACATTTTAATTCAGCTAAAATGTTTTAATAGTTAAAATGTGTTCCTTGTGCTTACTATTTCTACTATCCCTATAACAATACACCTCTATGTTGCCTAGTTCTTATAAAATCAAATCAAATATAAAGGGTTAGGATTAGGGTTATGATGTTTAGATCCATATAGCGGCACAGTATGTTGCCGCCTCTTGTGAGACACAAGGCCATTCCAGAGGCAGATCAATAAACCATGACGTACACTCATGAATTATTAGAGGAGCCTTATGGGAAATCACTACCCCTGCTGCTGTGTGACATCACCAGAGACAAACAGAAGGCTATCTCATGACTCATCTTCGGATGATGCTTACGGAGTGAGATTGTGTTGATGTGTTGAAAAGGTGGAACTGTTGAGGTCTTTAACAGGGTTACTGAGTTTTTCGGGGGAGGGGGTTTCAGCGCTTGGCAAGAAATACAAATATTAACTGTGATTAATGGCATGGTGTTCTGCAATCAGTTTAAATTGACTGCACTGTTTTTTATTTATTATTTACTGCAATCAGTTTAAATTGACTGCACTGGTTTTTTTTTTTAAACTAGTTTTGGATTTTTTAAAAAGGGTAAATATAGTAGAAAGAGTAATCGTAACGCTTAAACAACATTATGTTGTCATTAAATAAATTCATATTCTTTTGTTGCATAAAAACAATGGAATATGAAATAAAATAGGACTACAATCACAGGTTTTATAATTGTCCACCAACTTTGTTGGAAGCCATATTTTAAATATACTTAAAAAAAATGTCCATATCGGTGGCTGGTGTGTATGAATTAAGGAATCTGTTCATTAAAGGAAGTACGGGTCTTGCACATCAATCAAGCGTAGAACCTGTAAATAAACCTCCAAAAAGAGCTGTCAAATTTTAAAAAAAGACTGTTTTGAACCTACAAAAAGCGATTTATTACCTCAACCCTTTCAAACTGTTATTCACAGAAGGTACTGTATAAGTAGTAAGTGTTTGACTGAGATGACATGGCCAGAGAAGGTACAGGACGTGACAATGACCAGAACCACAGCTCAAGTGAGCTCTCTGCTGGTCAGTCCTCTGCAATGACAAAATTATATTCATATAAACATATATGTATTATTTTATTGTAATCCAGCTGACAAACATTTTTTTCATAATGAGCTTAAAATCAGAAAACATTCACAGTGGGATGCCTTCCAGCAGCTGATCGTTAGAATCAATCCCAGGTGTTAGCCATTAGCCACGAAAAACAGTAACACAGGTCTGCCCTCGTAAAACCAGCGTAGTATCCCTTGTTACGCAAGGATGCACTTTTTAGAAGTGCTTTTGTGTATTGTACGCATAAATATTTCAAAACCACAATTAACTGTTTACACTTGTCTGTTCATCCATTTATCCTCTACCTCTAACTGGACAGGGTTTTAAAGGATGAGGTTGCCAATGCATCACAGTGGGGGCAAATAACCATTCACAGCTGCTTTCACAGTGATGGTCTATTTTTAGTCTTTAATTAATCTGATGGACTACATTAGATAGATAGATAGATAGATAGATAGATAGATAGATAGATAGATAGATAGATAGATAGATAGATAGATAGATAGATAGATAGATAGATAGATAAAATACTTAAGTCATAATAATGTTTAACATGTTATATACCAAGCGTGGGCAACCTTTTTGACTCACGGGCAACATGTGTCCTAAAATTGAACAGGGTCAGGAGCAGATAGATGGAGAGTTTGTGTGAAATAAGAAACATGACAAGTAAAAGTCATGCATAAAGACTAAAATCTTTTTCTATGCCATCTACTGGGGAAACGTGAGTATTGCAGGGAAAAGGCAGAAGTATACCTATAATATATTTTTTTATTATTATAATATAAATACATTTGGAAAAGTTTGGCAGGCCAGATTAAAAAGCTGAATTGGCCGCATCCAGCCCCCAGGCCTTAGTTTGACCCATATACAGTGTATATACATTAAAAATACTTTAAAAATACTATGTCTTTAACATCAATATATCTTGTTTTGAAGTTGATTTAGATAAATTGATTGATTCCTATTTTCTTTTAAAGAAATTAAAATGTTAGCATCTGCACTCATGCACCTCCATGAGGCCTTTGAGTCACAGAGAAGCTCAGTGCACAGATCGATCACAGTGAAGATAAAGTCTCTGCCTCTGCATGTTCAATTACGGTACGTTACCAAAGAAATGCTGTACAGTAATATAATATTTTCAAGGGAATCAGAGAAACCAATGAATTCGGAGTCTCATAGCCTAGCAAAGCACTAGCTACGTTTCCATGGGTACCATTTGTAGAATTCCCCTATTGGCAGCATCCACCCGGCCGTAGACGCAGTGTTACACAGGAAGTGCTATCATGAAGGATGCTGTACACAATTGTCGAGCACATGGCACATTAACCTACTTCATTGATTGCTGAGAAAACACAGAACAGGAAGACAGAGTGGAAAAAATTGAGGAAGAGGCGATCAGAGAAGAGAAGACAGGGCAACATGATGTGATGCAGGGGGCAATGTGAAAGATGAAAAATGTCAGACGGACAGTTGCGAGGGAAAGATGCAGATTGAGTGATGTTGAAATCAGGTTGTCTATGTTGCTAAATGAATATCATAAAAACAATGAGAATGGTTGTTGTTTTTTTTTAACAATATTCTCTCCATCCCATGAGCCACTGCCATATCCACGCACGCCGTATCCCCTCCTCCCTCCAGGTCCGGATTAGAGGAGGCGATTCCCCCGAGACTGTGTCTGAATGCCTCAGTCTCTGTCTTTTTTTAAAGGGACAAAAACATGTCCTCGAGTGTGTCCTCCACTAAACATTCAAGTAATCCTCCAGGAGGCAGTATAAGCGAGAATCCAACATCTTTCTCAGAGAAAACCAAACAGAAGCCGTTTACCTCTCAAAATCTGACACACAAACACAAAAGAAATGATGCGACTTACCAACATGAGTGATGACACATCGCACCCTTTGTAGCAGCTCCTGGATCGACATCTCGTCTTCTCTAAACCAGCACAGCATCTCAGGGTGTGTGCTGCATTCACTGTCCTCTGAGCCTCACTCTCGCTCTCTCTCTCTCGCTCTTTCTCACTGCGCCGCCACGCCTCCTCTTCACACCCTTCTTATCCGGACACTTTCCTTTCTCGATCGCCTATCCAGGTTTTGCCTTTGCCTTGGTTGAGAATGCTTTCAGTTTGTTGTTGTTGTTGTTGGTGTCGTCGTTGGATTATTAAAATGTTTGTGATGCTCTTGAAATGAGCTACTCTACTCTTTCTTCACTGTCTGCTTTTACTACATAAACCAGACTGTAACAAATGGTCCGGATGGCTGTAATGATGGTAACACCAGCAATCTACCAAAAGAGATGATGGTAACACCAGCAATCTACCAAACCTGGGATACCTGAGAAACCTGGGATAAAAAAGATAAAAATTAGTAAATCAACAACATAAACACTATTTGGCTATGGTAACTTAATTTTTAAACCAGTGTAATTCGGTACTTCCCAGTTAGTTATCAACAAGGAGAATTTGTTATGGACATATGTTTTCAGTTTAAGCAATCAAGCAAAAAAGCAGTTTAAAAATAGCAATTATCAGACCTTGGTGTCATGGTGTTAAGCAATCTCTTCCCTCAGTGAAACCACAGAAGTCCTGGTGAAAATAAAGATGCTCCAGTCTACATGTCTGTGAAGCTCTAGTTGACTCCCTTCACAGGGACACTCCTCAGGAAAACACAGCTGAAGCTCTGATGCTGCTCTGT